AGCTATCTCACCACGCCTGTACATTTCGTAACAATATTATCTCCTAATAGAAATTTAGAAGTATCAAAAAAGAGGGAACCCATATGTAGAAAGTTTAATTCCGAAAACTGTGTTTTATATATATTAATAAATTGTAAAAATATTGTACTGGAACACTACTACAATGTAAATACACTGTTTGCACATATTGACAACCATCCAAAGTTTTTTCATAAAATTTTCTTTTCGAAATACATAAAGACAGAAAATACAAAGTATTGCAAATCTGACAAAGTGCGTTATGCTTTCTTTCGATATCAAAACTTAATCGTTACTTCGTAGATGATATATGCAGTCAACTTCCGATGATTCAGCGTTGGATTACCATGCTCTGTCTGATTATTGCGGAACGATGGAAAAATTACAGTCACAAATCATCAGCGTAATATAAAACTGTCAACGGAAAACTTGAAAAATGCGCATACTAACAGCAGTAATAGGATATGATGTCACAATAATATTTGGGAAATTTTCTGATCCATAACAGTGCGTAATTTAATTATATAAAATACGGTATATATATTACGAACATTGTTAAATCACTGTAATATTTCGAAATAAATTACTTAATCCCCCCTGGGTTTCTGAGGAGGTGCTATTGTATAGGATGAAGTTACAATGGCAGCAACAAAAAAAGATAAATTTTCCGCCTCTGTTACTGGTTTTTTACTTTGCGAACTGCGCACTAGAAATGCGTGCTAATGATCCGCAATTTCTGTTCATTTGCCTTGAAACTTTGATCATTTGGATGTTCGATCAAAATGTTTTTGCATACCAAATTTCGTCACGAGCGCAGAAGTCCTTTTTGGTGCTTTGAATATTTTGCAAAAGAGTGTATTTAGTTCTCAGTGTGTCATTGTGATACTTAACCAGTGGTTATTCTTTGAGGAATAACCAGGGCTGTGGAGTCGGAATTGGAGGTAGGCCGATTTTGGGGTAAAAGAAGTTGGAGCTGGAATCACTAAAACCACGTCGACTCCGAAACCAGTTTTTGTTGGATAATTTGAATTTGAAATAAAATTAAAGTGAATTAAAAAAATTGAATTACAAACTGAGTTATTATTTTCATTTATGGACTATATACATTAATAAATAGTTATTTTCTATTTTATTCACATATTAATAAATAAATATAAGGAAGGAGGATGGATGTGATACTAGCGTTCTTCATTAAAAATTGAAAAATTCAGTTCGGACATAAAATGGAATTGACTCGTGAACATTTTCGCGTGATTATTTTTCTTCGACGTGGATTATCAAGACAAGAGTGCTTCGATGAACGTATTTCGTGAGGGTCGTCCAAAATCGGTTGTTGTGCCAGAAAATATCTATGCTGTTCGTGCATTTATAAAGTAAGATATAATAAGACATACAGTGAGACAGAGGCACCTTTGGGCATTAGTATGACAAGCATCAATAAGGTATCATATGACCATTTGGCCGTAAAAAAGTTTTGTTCGCGTTGGATTCCGCATAATCTGACAAACGATCAAAAGAAGGCTCGTGTCGATTGGCGCAAGGAAATGCTGGAAAAATACGTTCAAGGTGCATCAAAGGCTGTGTACGCAGGTGACGAATCATGGATCTATGCATATGTGCCTGAAGTATGAGTCTTCAATGATGAGGCCAAATCCAACGAAACTTGTTCGCGGAAGAAGCACATCGAAGCAAATGGTCGTCTTTTCTCCAGCATTATCGGTCACGCGGCGACAGTGCCGTCGAAGTTTTTTATTTAAATTAGTTGGACTCAGTTTTGAAAGTGTTTCGTATTTGCAGTACAAATTATGAAAGCATACTCGGTTTATTGTTTGAATGCTATAGGTAATACTTGTAAGATGATTTCTTTAGGGTTTATTAATGACTATGTTACTTATGCCCTTGTGTTCTTGAAGGCCTTGTATGCCACTGTAAACTTAATTTTGCTTAGTGATAATAAATAGCTTCTGGAGGCAAGGCTTTAATCTGTGTAAGACAGACATCATGTCAGCTAGGTAATGGAGTCTCTGTTCTCTGGTTAACAGTGCCGTCGTAGTAGCTTCATTTTGTATACCTCAGTATTAGAAATTCAGTAAAACAGATTCTGAATAGCGATTAGTAGATCTATCGCAATAAAATAAGAAATCGTGAGACCATTTAATTTCTAGTTTATCTGTCGTTTCAAAAGGATAATATCCCCCCCTTTAGGCCTTCCTAATTCCTGAAAATCGTCTCATTCTTCTAAATAGAAGTTCCCATTTCAACCTTTCCGTTCACTCAATTATGATACGTCACTCAATTATGAATCAAGTGTTGTCATAATGATGTTCTGCTCTTTTAATTTTGTTTTCAGATACTTTTAGATACATTAATTAATACCATTGCGTTAATACCTAATATAAAAACATGAAACTTTTCATGAAATAACAGAACGGTACGAAATGTATGGTATTATACATTTTATAGTAAGAAAACATAAATAACATTTCCGCTTTTATTACAATTTCGTCCATCACAAGATAACTTGCATACCTGTTACGAGCATTTATTAACACATCCTTTAGTAAATCTATTGCAATAAAAATATTCCAATGATCACAAATAAGTCCTTACAACACTGAATGTGCCATTACGTATATTAGAAATACCTCACTAAAATAAATTTCGATTTAGTAAGGCTTTGAATTAACTTAGTTTATCAGCTGCCATTCTTCAGATGCACAGAATGAATTTCAGTTATTGCTCAAACAGCATTTTTGTAGCGATTATAGTGACAATGAACATCTTGACGTTCGCATGTATGTAAAAAATTTTTTTCGGCCTCCAGTATCTACATCCAGATCTGGTTCTGCATCACTTGACAGCGGCAAGGTTCACGGATTTCTTCCTACGTGTATTTCGGGGAAGGCGGAAACTTCTACATCACTTAAATCTGAACACATCAAATATTCTTATATTTCTATAGCATCCTCAAAATCAGTAAGTACATCGGACTAGCGTTCAACACATCCATCTTTTAAAACCACAATTAACTTTCAATTAATTGAGAACGTAATAAACGGATAAAAATTAGATTTGTCGCAGAACAAAGGAAAAATTACAACTACAGACCATCAGAGTAAAGCAATATTTCTGCGGGAAGATAGTAGTGATTCTAAATAATGTCACAGTATTTAGGAATTATTTTTATCCGCAACAGAGCTTAAAGTACTCCTGTCGAAATGCAACAGTAATATAAACAGAAGCATTGTTCTGCGTATTTTGAAGTGTGTTCTTGTTTGGAATGCTGATTTAATTTACTCCACTAAATAAGCTTACATTCCAAACTATTTAAAGATAAAGATAAATTACTAGCAGTATTTTTTTCCGTTAATTATAACACCAGTTATCCTCCTGTTGTCGAATTAGCCGTGGTTTTGGGTTAATCATAAAGAGGTCTTCTCTGGTTAATCGAGAGTCTACCGCATTTCCTGCTTGCTCTACATTCTTATGGAGTTTAAATTCACATATAAAATTATTTACTGAAATCAGAAAATTTAAGATACAGACGACGTGCCAAAGGCTATGAACACACAAAAACCTCTCTCTGGCGCGATATTATGCCCAGATAATAAAAAAATATAATATTTTGTGTTAATTTTTTTTAAATTTTGCATGAAAATATCAAACGAAAAGATGAGAAATAGTTGAGTGAATTAAAGTATTTTAATATGTGTATCTTCGGTTAACACAATCACGAAGATTACCGTATTTGCCGCCGTATAACACGAACTTTTTTCCTTTGAAATAGGTCTGAAAAACGCGGTGCGTCTTATAAGCCGATACTTAGTTTTTGATTACAATCATTTCTGGAAATTTCCTCTATTCGGAGTTATGCGATTTTGAATGGGTCAAAGCTTCATGGGTAAAAACAAAGACAGTGGTTAAATGATCTAAGAAGTGTGGCATCAGTTATGCACTGGATGGTTCAGAGGACAATTTGTTGTATGACTCAGATGCTAATTTAGAAGAGGTTGCAAGTGACTTCTTTTTAGCTCTGGAGATGAGTGTCTGGGTTTTGACGAAGATTACAAGGTGTTATTTTCCTGATAGATTGGGTATTTGCAGAAAGTATTACTTTATATTTAAAATACTGTAAATTCATTATAATGATCAGTAGGAAAGTTTTAGCCTTCAAAAATGTGTATAAACAAACGGGTGCGTCTTAGATGAATTAACGAGTTTATCTCACAAAGAACTACATCAAGGTGGTTGTTAAGGCTTTCATAAGGCTATCTGTAAACTTGTAGTAAAATAAAAAGGTATTCCAGTTGCATAATTTCTATGTAATCCTATCATGAAAACATTTAACTTTGTTTGCTACATCACAAATAATAGAAGTAACGCTTTTATGCGCTATTCAGTACAAGGATATCTAACTTCAGTTTATATTTCGCAATTTTATGATTATTTTGGTAAAACTGTTAAACCTCTATTCCCTTTCTTTGCAGTGCTCTTTTCCTACATCTATTTTAATAACATTGAATTGTGGTCTGTTTATCATAAAAACGTATTAGAAATGTCACTGTCTCCCTTTAGTAAATCTAAAGCAACAGAACAAATTATTTTCATTCTTGACAGGATCTTTAGTATATTCAAAAGACAAGAACATTTATTTACCTTGATAAAAAAGGTCATTGAGGCTTTTATAATCACATTAATAGATCTATCGCTATAAAGTTAGAAATTATATCAGTTGTTTACAGTGCGCCTTTAGTACATCCATCACATGAACAATGGCTAATTCCGAGATATTTTTCAATAGTCTATATATTTTTTAATTTACATATTTAATGGTAATAGTAAAGTTTATTTTGTTCCAAAATAATTATTTTTCATTATTTTTCAAAAGCTGGCTTCAGAAAATTTATTTCAGTTTAAAATATTTGTTTCAGAAAAATATCTCATTTTCTAAATTAGCCCATAATAAAGGGAGCGCAGCTTACCACAGAATCGTTTTGTTTCCAACATCAGCCATCACGTATTTACGTTCCTGAAACAAAAGAAAATTATATGAATTAGTAAGTATAAGAAACACTAATACGTGCAGTAAATATTATAACTTTATGAACACAAGAAATGAACAGAAAAAACTTATCTACGTAATATATAACTTCAAATACAAGATTTAAAATACTCCAGCAGTTTATTATTACACTTTATTGATATTTAGACAGAAAAATGCTTCTTAAATTTGATTATCTTTCATTTCTAATTCTTGAACAAATCCGAATACTGAAGCATGCACTAATTCCAAAACTAATGATTGGTATTTCCTAAGAAATCAGAGTACACCAGATTTCGATTTCCTATAATACAAATCAAGTATTTTTCTCCGTAGTGGTGGACTCTAGTCGTATATAGGCGCACTAATAAGGCCGGAAGCTGTGGTCTCCTTTATGGAGGCACGTAACAGGAGGGCCATCGTTGCCCCTTTTGAAGGGACGAACATCACACCATTACACCAAGATTGGAGTATCCATTCCCTGGCCTGCTTCTCTGAGCTGTCTTAAATGTTAATAGTACTCCACACTCAGAGACTGTACGGAGGGGCGCCACGCCCACCGATCAGCCCCCCGTACAGACCTTAATATCTACATGAGAGCGTCTCCATATCCAAGTCAAGGTCACGACAGTACCAGTACGATCCCTGCCAAGACCGCGCCTATCACCGTATAAATGATGGTTCTAGTCACTGTGAAGACTGATTATTTACCCAAGGAAGCGAAACTGTCAGGACACAAGTCTAGCCATTGGTCTGGAAGAACCCCTGGTCTCCTCCCAAAAATGGTCCGTTCCGGAAATTCCTACCAGTCGATCCCAAGGGATGGGTTGTCCAGCATCATTAGCATATGCCAGCCTGCGCCGAAACCCCAGCCGACATAGTTACCAGTGGGCGCCACGAGGAGGCTGATGCTGAACTGAGGGAGACAAGAGCGGGTTTCACCGTCTCTATTCCCTCAACCCCTGCCCTTCGGTCGAACACCAGGTTTCCTCCCTTCCCTTCCCGCGCACGGTCAGTTCCAGCCGGTTCCGGACACTGAAACTCTAGGTCAGGTGCCGGCGTCCGCTGCTAAGATCAAATGCCAGGTCTCCTCCCGCAAGCGGTCGGTTCTAGACATTTGACTTCGGGTAGCGAACGCCACCCGCCTAAAGGGAAGAACAAATTACATTCATGCTACCTTCTCCGGGATTTGAATCCGGTTCCTTCGTACAGCACAGTCACTAACCTCTTTCCCGTCTGGGCGGCATTAATATTATAGACTATCAGTAACATATTTCGGAATTCTGCAAAATGAATTTTGGCAAATACATTTTTATGCGCAGAAAGCAGTCACATCATCTGTGTTCAAAATAACAACGAATACACGCGCAGAATTTAACGAATACAATTTAAGCAATACTGTATTACCTCGCACTTTATTCAAGTTTTAAAAATATAAAATTACTATTCGGCTTAAATTAAAAGAGAATACTTTAATGCCTTATTTTTACTGATCTACTACTGCCTTCATATCTCACAAGGAATTATCAAAAAATCTATGTCGCAAAACTAATTTAATTGGCACTGCAGATAGTGATCGGGTTTAAAGTGAAGAAGGGGATATATTTTCCTGTTACATTTCAAAAATCTCCTCATTAGTGGCCGGTAGTTCATCCTGAGTTCGAACCCAGGCGAACGGCCTGGATGCAAGATTATTTTCTCCATGTGTAATGTGAATACGTGCCAATTTCCGTTAACAAAGGTCTTCATGAAGGCGACAATCCTGTTCGATAGACAGCCCTCGAATGCTTTACCATATTCAAATAATCTAACCCAGTGGTCACAAACTCAGCCAAATGCACAATCTGAAAGCAGTTGACAGAACAGAATTTTTTAACGAAATTAGATTTTTTTATACAAAAAAAAAAAATAATTTTTAAATTTCGCTTACCAATATTTATCAAAATATACGTAAACAATAATACTAACGCACAGGACGCAATTCATTTTTATATTTGTTTTCTAACAGAAATCATATGTTTGGTACCTGCAAGACATTTTGTTGGTTATACTTGTAGTTTAAACATACTGACAGCTAAAAATTTTCATACTGACATTTATTTCGAATAAATCTAATATGTTAAACAAACTTACTTTAATTTTAAACTTATATAATCAAATTATGAAAACTAAAACTTTCTTTATGGCCCAAAAACTGGGAATAATAGCAAGCTAATGTCTTTCTATTATTCATTGCATTTTTAAACTTCTTGTTGCTTAATAGAGTTTGACATTTGATAGCGCTTTGATTCTGATGAAATTTGTAATCTATTGGAAAAATTATGAGAAACCATCTTCATCACGGATTTAAGATGCGTACTGGTCAGTCGGATTCATTTATTATTAATTTTTAACAGTGAAAAAACGCTTTTCACTTGAAAATGTGTTTTCAAACAAAGTAGTTATTCTTAATGTAATATTTCGTTTTAACTTTTGACAAGTACGGCTAAAAGTTAATCAAATCTGTAACTTAATCGTTGAATAAGATTTATATCACACTGTAAATAAATTAGCTCCATTTACATATTTTATGGTGTATCATTCACGTTGGTTTTTAATAGGAATGAAAATAATGTAAACTTAGACTTTAAATAACTAAATTCTTGAAATTTTTGTAACAGATACATAACAAATGTATTCGTGGGCCGCAGGTCCCAACCAATTTCAAAATTATACCGCGGCTTCAACTCGATTATGATTTTTCTTCTTCTTAAGGGCATATACTGCTTTAATTTACCATTAATAGCAATTAGCTTTGTTTCAGGCGTAAAAATGCAGACACAAATACTGAAATTTTATTGGGATTTAGATATTATTATAAACTGAGCGTCAAAGACATTTAACCTGCTTAAAAATTTCGGGAAGTACTGGATGAAACGCTCTAAAGTTGTTAACTCACCTCTTCCCTGTAATGCAAAAACAGCAGATCATCAGTAGATTATAATGCTTTGAATCAGTGATCTCAAACTGGTGGTCCACGACTATATTTTACTTATGTATTTGTTCTAAATACAGTGCCAAAAGTTAGTAGATGGATAAGGTTATTGAAACAATAATTAAAACAGTAAATTTTATCAGCACACTAGTTCTGAATCATTAAGTTCATCTGCACTGCTCGAAGAAATTGAAAGTGATTACAGAGGAATTATTTATATACGTTAGGAGTAGTTATCTCGAGAAAATGTATTAAAACAATTTTTAATAATAAATAAAATCAATATTTTCATAAAATGAAAAAATAAAATTTAAAAAATGACGTGCGGCCTGTCAGCTGGTTTCAGATCGTACTCGCATGCAATTTGAGTTTGAAACAACTGCGTTAAAGCGCCAAGTACAGAGAACTCATATACTCGTAGAAGAGCTAGGACCATCAAAGGCTACCCTAGACACGCTTCGTAAAACATACAAAAAATTTACATAGATTCCTTAATACCTTACCACAAAACGAATGGAAATTTGCTTAATTCGTATGAAAAACGTTTTGGATCTGCGATTATTCAAGCCCATAGTTATGTGATAAAAAAAGTAGACTTAACAGTTAACTTAAGAAATCCAGGCAGTTGGAAGCAATGTGTAGACAGGACTATCTTTAAAAACAGGCGACACAGGTAGCCGCCTAGGAAGGCCGGTGTCGTCTAGGCTAGTGGACTCAAACCTGCAACCTCCAAAATAATTTTACAAGATCTGTGAATATATTTCCCAGAAATCAATTAGTATTATTATAATAAGAATTTAAAGAAAAAGAGTTCAATGATCTGAACTCGAATTTTACATTATTTTCATTATCATTAAAAACGAAAGTGAGTAACGCCCCAGAAAATCTACAAAGAGCTACTTAATTTACTTTGCGATAAAAATCTTAGTCAAAGATCCTAAAATGCAGTTTTGATTAGCCTTTGCTGTTTATAAGGTATTACTCCCGCCTTCTTAGCGAACCTTCGTGGTGTAGTGGTTCTGGCCGGTATTTCCAGAGGTCCGCGGTTCGATTCCCGGCGAAGGCATTGCTCATTTTTCACGTCTCCTGCTTCCAAAACTCCTAATGTACATTTATATACAAAAATACATTTAGATGCGAACAATATTTTTCCGCAGTTGAAATATAAATTGATTTTTTTCCTTTGCATTATTATTACTACTATTTATATACGTTTTGATTAATTAGTAATATTTAGCAAAGAAAATTAAAAATATTTTTTCATGTTAAACACAGTGCAGAATTATTTTTCGTCAATATATAAATTACACTGATATTTCACGAAGAATTTTTATTTTGGCTTTTGATTTTTTTTATTTTGCATCAAACTATTCCAGATGCAATCGAACTCCTTATTACTAGAATTCGAAAGTGAGATTTTGTAATAAATATTAACATTCATAACAAAATTCCTTAATTTTACGGCTGGATGAAAGAATAATGAAATAAAATTACGGATGAAAAATATGCCAATGTAAAATGAGGCAAAAAAGCAACTTCATTTTAGCATGGATTTTGAAGAAAACTCCTATTTCAACGGGGCCAGACACGTCTGTGTTCTTTAGGTTCTTTAGTTGAAGAGATTTTTTCCCTCTAAGATATCTAATAGTCTGTCAGTCATATTTTTATTAGTCATGCCCGTTTATAATAAAATCACGAAGGCGGCAGAAATTCGATGTAACAATATATTACTTGTATATCTAAAAATAGTTTTAAAAATTAAAAAATACTTTTTTTGCTTTAAATTCCTTACTTTTTTAATTATCTAACTGTAATATGAACCTTAATTTTTAATTTGATTACAAGCTAAAATTGCATGTTCTTAACGGTCATAATTTTCGTAACTTAAATTTTTAGAATACAAACTTTTAAATATTACTTCTTTTTTTCCTTCCGGAGATGGGAGGAGTTCCAAGACTGTCTTCATTTCTTAAAGCGTTCGAAAAGCCTTGTTAGAAGAGAAAGCCATGCAAACAAGCTTTCAAAATGAGCCTGTTTATGAAAAGATAGGCATAAATTAGAAGCGAAAAAAATCTTATTTTCTTAACCAATACATAAAGTATTTAATTTTATTTGTGTGAAAAGCAACGTTAATTTCTCTTTGTAAGAAAACATGTGAAAATTGGAAGGCGGTAAACTTTTATTTAGGCTGTACAAGAAAGCTTATAATGGATGTTTCTTAGCAGTTGAATTTAGAGGAATAGAGAACAATTAATTTCTTTTTATATCAGCCAATGATTGATAGAACAGTTCGTCACATGAAATAACTTGTAGCTGTTATAACATGAAATATCGCATGAAATAACTTGTAGTTTTTGTATATGAAATAAAAATAGTTGTTTTTTAAGCAAAAATCAAACGTAATTAAATTCGGTATAAACGTATTCAACGCCACACATATAGTGAGTTTAGCAGAATTAAAAGTATTAAAAACGATAATAAAAAAGAAACCGCCTCAGCTCTTCAAAACTGGTAAGCTATAAAAACATTAGGAACAAGTTTTATTCGATGACCTTCAAAACTCTAGCCATTGCTGACCTAACAAATTCTGCTTACACTTCCTAGTTTCGTACAGATACGCCTGAAGTCACATTCCACTAGAGAAACCTTCTGTTGACGTTAAAGTGCGAAAAAGAAAAAAATGCAGCTAAAATCTCCTCCTTTGCGTTCATAGAGATATAACGAAATCAGTACAATATTAATACCTTACATATAGATGTCATACTGAATTTTTAATCTGTATACCTTCTGGTGGGACAGATGATAGATTTTTTATTCAGTTACACGTAACATAGAGCAGTAACCACGTCTGTATTTATACTGATAATTCTCTTTTAATATCGAAAATTGATTATAATATTAAAATTCGGAAGAGAACACAAATTATTTCATAAAAATGAGAAATACAGACTGATTCTTGATCGGAGAAGCATGATGATGACAGTAAAAAACATCTAATATTTATTTACAATAATATAATAAAGAAATCTGTCACAGAAAATTACAAAGCTAAAAATATACTCGCATAATTTGCCATTAACAATCATGTATCCCATAATTTCTTCAAATTTTTAACGATAAGCATATATTAATTAGGCAATTAGAAGCAGGCTCACCAGTAGCCGAGCAATAAAGTCGCTGAACACTGATAGTTCAATCTGAGGTTCGAATCCCTCGACTGGGCTGGATAAATGGGGGTTTTAGTGGTTCCCCCATGTGTAACGTGTATACGAGCCGATTTCCCTTAGAAAGTCCTCCCCGAAGGCATCCCTCCCCTTAGGCAGATAACTTTCGATTGCTTAGCCATAATCAAATAAACCAATCAGAAACAAGTACCAAAATGCTAATTTTGTCGGTTAAAGCAAGCCATACGGATAGCTACCGAAATACCGTACTTACGTCCATTTCATACTAATTTTATCGCTTGAAAACCGGGAGAGGAAAAATATCTGCGTATACTGTTTCTGAAAAGACAGCTTAAATGATAAACATAGCATATTAAAAAACGCACATAGAAACACATTAATACTATTATATTATGCATTTCTAAGAACTTAGCAATTCCAGTAATATCCTTTTTACTTATGCAAAATACTTTCGCATTCGCGCATAAAATTGATATTGTTACCATAGATTAGAAGTTTCTACATCATATGCTAAAAAAAAGTAGGGAAAAAAGTACGCGTGGAGAAGAAGTATGAGAGCAAATGCGGTAATTTTTAGGTTTATTAAAATGTAGAAGATGGAAACAACGTATTTCACAAGCAAAGCATATATTTTGTTTGTGCGGTGAAAACGTGAAGTAGTCACAAATAACAAATGATTGTAAATTTAACCAATTTTTTTACTTACCGGTAATTCGGTAAAACTGCCTACTAAAACCAGTTCAGTATTTTTTTTCTCTCTCCAAAAAATATATTTAAAATAAACGAGAAATAACACAAAAATATGTTTTCAAAACTTTTCAGGCATTATAAAAAAAAGTATTAAAATAATTCGCATTTCAAAAACAAAATTTCAAGTGGTGTAACAAAAACATAAAAAAATAATAATAATCTATTGATAAATTATTATATAGAATGTATCTCTCATGGAAATACTGAGAAATATTTTTTCTTATACTTGTAACCGCTTTTTATTTATTAATTCTTTTTAAAAAATCTGATGTGTACACCACATGACTTCTTGTACGGAATATTAAATTAAAAGTAACTTTCCTGCTTTTCATTTAAACATATTAAATTAACAGTTAACGAATTTCAATTAAATCTACTTCGTCGATAGCGCATAAACCACAATCGAATAAATGCACTCTTTAAAGTTCACTGTATTTATTTACCAAAGCGACACTTCGGCGGTACGTTCACTTAACAGCATTAACATTCATTTTATGGCTCAGAGTGCACAAAAATTATATCATCTGAAGAATTACTACAAGTTCTATTTAAATACTATAATTAATTTAAAACGATGTATAAAAGGAATTAAGCAAATAAAAAAGAAACATTTTTTCGCAGACGGTTCAGCGTAGCTTACGTAATGCGCATGCGCAACGAATTAATTCAGTTCTCACTTCGCAGCAAGATAAAAATATATAAAAATTCAAAATATTTTCATTAAAATTTGAAAGCTATAGAAAAACATAAAACACTAAATACAGTTAAAACAAATTTAAAAAACTTTTACAATTAAAATTACTGTTTCTACGCCAAAACAAGCTAATACCTTAAATGTTAATCCCAGAATGAATTAAGCATAATTTAATTCGCAATAATAAAAGAAGACGTTGCTTTGTTGCTGCGAAGCTTAGTTTCTTTACATCGGCAACAAATCCACTATTCTGCTAAGTTTCATCAAATGTAAACAATCCCATGGTAATCAGAAATTAGGCTTAGCCGCACTTAAAAAACTTCTACTGTTGATATTTTCACAATTATAACATGCAGGTTAACGAAAGGCATAAAAATCTTAACCATAACAGCATAATTAAATGATTTTTTAAGCAAAAAATGCACAATTTACAAACATATAAGAATAAAGAAACAGCTCACTGTGCCGAATAACAAAGTGGATATATATATATATATATATATATACACATTTGGTGGTGCGGCCGATTGCAACCAAAATGGGAGGTGCACATCTACATGTTATAGCAGTCCTATGTACAAAATTTCAATGCTCTGAGGCTACTCATTTTTAAGTTATGCGAGATACGTACGTACGTACAGATGCCACGAAAAAATCTCTTCAGAATTCATTTTAAATCAGTTTTATAATTGTTTTTTGGGGAAAAGAGTCCTTTATTCTGTCCTTACGTAGAGATGTTAAGCCAAAACATCGTTAAATTGCATTCGATAGCGGTCAAAATAGGTAGTTTCGTTGAAATACGATACCCGAAAATTCTCGCGATTACAATACTTACTTTTTACTTCGTACAAGGAAGTAAAAATAATACTTCTACTAGTAAAAATAATACTGTAGTATAGTATAATAATTATACTACTAGTAAAAATAATACTTTTTACTTCGTACAAGGAAGCGAAAATTATAGTGTTCAAACTCTGGCTTCTGAACCGCGATCTACGGTTTTTTTTTTTTTTTTTTTTTTTTCAAAATAAGCCAGTCATTGAGAAAGCGTTCTCCAATTTCATATCTGATCTGCTCTGATAGTTAAAGATCGTGTTATCTGAATATTGATAATATCAAAAAAAAATCAAGAACAAAGAAAGTTACCTTTCTTTAAACCCTAGGAATAGCTTTTCTACTTCAACAGTGCGCTGTTAGAAACAAACAACTACTATAATGTAAGAAACAGCTTTCTCTCAACTTGGAATTCATACATACTCTCAAATAGAAAGGTAAATTTCACGCTTCAGACAGGAAATGAAAAACATGGAATAAATGCGTTACGAATTCGTGATAAAATTGCATCACACTGAATTCATGGTTAACATTTGTTTACCTTAGAAATGCATAGTAAAAAAACTGGAAATGCCAAATCTTTGTTTTGCTTAGAATATAAAATACTCTTTCACTGCGAGATTTGACATTTCGGTGGTAATCCTAGCACATTCTTTACATTCAATCTTACGTAGTTGGTCTCTTTTTCAGTCGGAGAAATATCCAATAACGAAATTTCAGCTGATTAACGATAAATTTTCCTTTACTTTTTTAACTAAATTATTTGCAATTCATGGTTATTTTAAAATCAGGGCTTAATTTCTAAAATTTGAAGTGCTGGAGACCTATGGAAGACCGTCAGGAAAGAGGAAAAAGAATAAATAAATAACTAATAAAAATTCTCTGAGAAAAAAAAACTGATAGCTGAGATTCCCTACCATACGATTAGTTATGAACATCAATTTAGGATCTGAGTTCAGAATTTGAGGAATTCCCTGTAACCTAGGAATATACACTTCACAGAGCACATATTTTTCCCATATTTAATGACATCAGCAAATGTATGAGAAGACAGAACAGTCTTATCCTTATTTACAGTAAACAACTCAGGGTAAAAGTCTTTAAACTTTTCAAACAATATTTGGCCAGATGTGAAACACTGCCACTAAACAAACTAAGTATAATGTTGCTACAGTAATCCTGACATGATATACATGTGCAATCACTTTCCTAATGGATGATGTAGTTAAATGGAAGGAACAAGAATGAAAATGTTACTTTTCAGAACCTCTTGTACTTTCTCAGAAGCTTACTCCTCAGAAATGCACTTTTATTAGCAAAGCTTTCCCTCTACAACAGCTACATAAATGTCATGGCTGTCAGTGGTCAAAATATTTAACCACACATATACACATTCTTCTATTAAATTCCTGTCACTTCTGCTTTTAGCAATCTCCTCTTTCTTTTTTGTGACATTTTATCGGTGCTTTCATAATCAGAAACTTACAATGACTTCATGGCATAAGAGTAGTGATGCTACCAGTGCTTCAAAACTTACAAGAAGCTAAATTATTCACTTACCCATTAAT